ACCCCCATTCATTTTGAGACCCCCCTTCCCAGGAAAACCCTTTATTGGCAAGTGTCGAAGCGTTTGAGGGGTTTGAGGGGCTTGAGGGGTTTGAGGGGCTTAAGGGGTTTGAGGGGTTTGAGGCGTTTGAAGGGCAGTTTCGGGCCACTAGAAAAAAAGGATTTGGCGCGCCAGAGCCCCGAGCCCACAGCCTGCGCAACTCCGCCCACAGTCTCGCAGAGCCCAGAGCCCACAGTCTGGCAAGCGCGAGGTTTTGGAGCGTCTGAAGCGTCCAGAATCCAGAAGCTGGCTGCTCCAACGGCCAGTAAGGATTTGGAGAGCTCAGGCTCCACACCTTCGGTGGTCCCAGGCGCCGCCCCTGCCTTCGCCAGAGCAGGGGTCGGCGGACATTGGTATAAGAACACAGACTCGCGGAATGCAATCCTGCTGGATCAATTGTGGAAGGAATACACCAATTGCACGTGGAAGTAGTTATGTAAAGCAAGTTGGATGATACTTGGCTGCAGCGGAGGCTTTGCCTTTGCTAAGGTACATTGCCTTCTCCATCGTACTCGTGACCACCTCATCGGCGTGGTAGGTTGCTGTCTTTATGTAATGACCAGATCCATGACATTGGCCGCAGCCTCGTTGCATCCTTGGACACCCAGAGGTGGGCATCATTCCCTACGACGAGATTGACAGCGTGCCTCTCTTTTGTGCACCCTTCTTGCTCGTTGAAATGCTGCGCTGTCTCCTTGTTTTCATATGTTTTCATGTTTCCCTTCCTTCAGTGAATCACCTTTCCAGGCAGCTCCAGCAGAGGACGCTTTTGGCAAGCATTACGCAAACATCCCTTGGGCTGCTCTGGCATGTCTGGCCCAAAGTTGACCTTGTGGTTTGCATTCATTGCCAGGCTTTAATGCTGGTGAATTGGGGTGCTGTGATTGGATTGTTCACCACATTGATCACTGGGCTTTACTCCCAGGCTGACGCGATGCAATCATGTCACATTTGTTCCTTTCCCTTCCCGCCCCATGCTTTTTGCAATAGGCCCGCATCTATTTGGCAATGGCACGTGATGTCACTTGGCCTGAGTCTATCCTGAGCGCAACCACACCCACTCACATATTCGGTTCCCATGCGGTGTGGCTTCTTGCTGCCTCTTTTGACTCCGACGTTCGCATTGATGTGCAAAGCGGAAGCCAGACAATGCTGACGCATCTGCAGTTCAATGGGCTCCAAAGGGGAGGCTGTACGCCCACAGTCTAGAGCGTTCTTTGCCATGGCACTCTTCCGATTTCTGTTGGCTTCAGCAATCCCATTGTCCAGAGCAGTGCCAGGCACAGACTCCTTCAAGGTGGTCTCTCCTGCTTTGGAGGCAGAAGCTGTTCTGGAGAATGAGAAGTGGTGGCACCTGGGCGGCTTTTGCTTCGGCATGGACCAAGGAGCACCTGTGGCAAGGCTCGTTGTCCGAATGCTTTGGCGAGGCGAAAGGCCGCTGGATGAAGCCGCCAAGGTATACTTGGTGGCCTTTGATGGGCGACAACAGCATTGGGGTGCGGCGCAGCAAGAGTGGGATACTGCTGGCTGCGAGAGGAAACTTCAAGTTGCAACTGATTGGGCTGAGTTGCACGAAATGACCTTCACCAAGTCGCTCCCTTCAAACATTGAAAAAGCCTTTGCAATCAACATTCACCAGAAAACTGCAACCAGAGACTGGCACTATGCTTTGATGGCTTGTGGCAATGTAGAGTCTGCCCCATTGAAGCTGACTATGGAGGCGGTTTCGGGAGCCCTCTCTGTGTTCGCCGCTGGTGACAACTTTGATCAAAGCAGTTGCCCAGTGATGCCCATTAGTTGGTGGGCAGAAGGCCAAGGAGAAGCCAGCTTTTGGCTTTTGCTTGTTGCGACGGCCATCATTAGTGCTTGTTTCGGTTGTGGTTTCCTGATGTTGAGCAAGTGGCTTAGGCACGCTAAGCATGCGTCAGTCAAGAGCTCCAGTGATGTGAACGAAAACGATGAGGTGGTGATTGGCAAGCCATGCCAAGCACCTGATGGAGACATTGCGGACGGTCAAATTAACGTCCAGAATGGGAAGATGAATCAAAAGGTCAACGAAGATGTTTGAAGGTATCCATCGCGCATCGCTGAGTAGTGAGTAGAGTACAGTAGCATTAGGGCCAATAATTATTTAAAGGCACAATCTCCGGACTGGAGTGTTGCCGTTCCACTTTTTGGAGCCTGGTGATCCCGAGCCTGGCTTGCCAACTGCTCGAGTGTTCTGAGTGGACCTTGAAATAACGGTTATTCCAGATTCTTGATGGACCAGGGAAGAGAAGAGTCTGGAGGGATTGGGAGGGCCACTTGGACACAAAACCTTGTAAATAGACTCCCAGAACAAACGGGACATGACAGAGAATTCTGTGTGCCTCGCTATTCATTCCGCCGACTTTGTGGAAGGCTGTCCGACCGGTTCAAGACCGACCTTGAGCGGCATTGTCATGACTTTTAGGGGCTCAAAAAGTGTTGCATCGGTGAACAATATGTTGAAACTGCACAAAGTCTTTAGAGATACGAGTCGAGCATCATTACAATCACAAAAAAGAGTATCTTGAGCAGTTCGTGACAGCCTTCGCCCAGGGTCTCTTCTTCCAGGCTTTTGGACTCTTGGCAGCAAAAGGAGCTGGATTTCAGGGATAGAAACATATGCTCTGTTACACTTGCTTCTTTGGTGGCTGTAAGCGTTGTGCAATCAAAAAATAAACACGGATCCTGAAATACACTAGGTAGTTCTTGTCCTTGGAGATGGGGTAGCCGGAGGTTGGGGATTTCGGATAGTCTTTGTTTGTTTTTCGACGTTCGCAAGAAGAAAGATCGGCCTGGGGATAGGCTTTTCTTTACATACACAAGTCCTGCTGATCTAGATGGTCCGGACGCCTTTCTTCTGTCGGTACCTTTGAGACAGATCTTTGCCAACGTTTGTCGCTGCCGCATCTCGCAGGTCGAGTATCTCCCACCTTTGGGACACCGATCCATGCTCAGTGGCTTTGTGGAGCCATTGCAGCCCTGTTGGCTTGTGTACCTGTGCCATGGCAGCCAGTGCCTATTTGTGCAAGATGAGGGAACAGCTTCCTCTATGGGGAATCTCTCTCTCTCTCTCACTCACAAGCATGCATAGAAGGCCTTAGGTCAGAATTTCCTTTTGTATTGACATTTTGCACGTCTTTGGCGGTGGGTGAAGGCCTTCACAGGCTATCACAATTCAACATTTATTCTGCCCCAAAGAAGACTGCGGGAGCATACTAGCTATTTGGAACATAGAGGGTATTGTGGCCCAAGTCAATCATTGCTTCTTTTGTTCCTATTCCTTGGGATCGTATTATGTAAATGTAGGTAGTATGTGTTTTCATTTTTTGCCTTCATGCTCTTGTCTACACTCACTTCTCCCGACCCTATGTTTTGCTTTGTAGATATGCAGCCGGCCAGTTTTTCTGTCTTTCTGAATTCTTTTTCCAATACAAATAAGATCTAATACGACCTTCTCACTTATCAGGTATCAACTCTTGGTCTTTCAATAGACATCAATAGACCAGCTTGAATGGTGGATTACTGTTCTGCGAGATTTGCAAAGGTGGACAAGCTTGCCCTATTCTTGAGCATCGGCGTGCTGCTCTCTTACACCGTTGCCGCTTGCTTATAACACAAAAGGTTCAGTCACATCCTTGTGTCCAACTCCAACATTTTGGACTGTTGCCAGTATATAGTTGTATGTTCTTCTCATAGTGTTGTCCATTGATTTGTAGAAATCTGTTCAACTTGCCCCTTCGAAAGGTTTGTGCTGGTGTTCTAGTACTCCGTGCAGAGTCTCCCGAACAAGCCGCAAAATGGTCTGGTCTGGTGATTCTTGCCGCTGCAATTCAGATTCCAATCTCCCTGTGTCAGAGAGGTTGACCTTGTTTGAAGCAACAGTTCTTCCAAAATGTTACTGAGCCAAAGCGAATGTTGAAGGACATTGGCAGCAGTTGCTGCATCACTGTGCTCCTCTTATATGTTTGGCTCTGAGATCAACAGATACTGTTAACGTCCTATGAAGTTATGTGCTACAAGCTTTTTGTGACTACTATTCAAACATTCAATCTCGAATTGATTCAGCGCTGCTGAGTTTGAGTTCCAAGAACTATTTGGCCATAGCAGCGACTGCAGTCTTTGCTCTGCTGGCTTCTGGGAGAGAACTTGAGTCGTCGACGATGTACATATTTACTGAACTCCAGCTTGTTTGGTCAAGACGGCAGTTGGCTGCCATGGTGCAAGGCGATGCTCTGTTGGGTGCCCTTCTTCCAAGTGCCCTACAGTCGTCCATCAACATTTGCTTGTCCTGGCTGCCCCACAATACCTTTATTCGGGCTCACAATCAATGGCTACCTCCTATCACAATGCCGCATGGCACCTGATTTAGGGGTTTGCTTACGAGATTGTAGCAGCGAAGCTGTTGGCAAACTTCTCTATGCCAAACGAAGGCCAGAGGCCAGAGAATACATCTTTTTTCCTTTGCACGGAGACATGGAGTGCATTGCCAGCGAGATGGTTTAAGAGCTTGGCACGTGCTTGATCAGATAGCTTCTTTGTTTCGATTTGCTTGTGGCAGGTGCTGTGCATTAAATCTGTCAGCATATGCTTGCGACTTTGCTCAGGCCATTGGCAAGCCTGGCTTCGATTGGTTTTGACCTCTTTCCTCATTCTCGGAGCATATGCACTGAGGGTGAGAAAGTCATTGAAGACTCCAGGACAGACAGCAGATAGGAGTTGGACTTGCTGTTTCGCCTTGTTGTGGACAGTGGGTTCGATGGGAGATCTGTCAAAGCCCAGTGAGGTGTTCTGTTAAAGCGAAGTTAAGTTTCCCTAAAAATCTAGGACCCAAATCACTAGTGCGAGCGTGAGCTATCTTGCCCTAGCTAGGAGCAAGCTTCTGAAGTAAGGACGCAGGGCCACAGCCTAGAATATAAACAAAGATGCATCTTCAGCGCAGGTTCACGGAACCAACGGGATCTACACCTATCATTGGCCGTGCAGCCTGATACTGTCTCAAGTTAGAACCTCGCTGGCTGAGACCAAAGATGTCGACCCAGCCATTGAGGAGCTTCTGTTTGAAGCAAATGCAAAGGCTATAGCTGTGTGAATAGTGCATTGCTGTGCCGGCGAATCACAAAACACACCTCCTTTGTCTTGGTGGAAACATTGAAGAACAACATGCAGTTTGACCCAAGCTTGAGTCCATTAAACAATGTTTGTTCAGACTCACGACTGCTTCAGATATACTATGCTCAAAGTCAGCAAGTGCTTCTTCCTTGCGCCCCGTCGAACTCCGTGTGGCTTTGCTCATTTCAGCCTTTCTGTGAAGGAAGCGACCAAGGCCATAAGCCGATGCAAACGGCCAGTAGAGCTTTTGAGAGTTGTAGCCCGTTGCCAGCAATCTCAGAGCATCGATGGAGTTTTTTGTGCGGCTGCACTGCATCGTTTAAGCATTCTAGAAAGGCACAGGCATGATGTGATCGAGATGGCAGACGCCTGGACACTGCTGTCCACAGTAGCTGCTGAACATTTGGATGGGTTTGGAGCCCAAGAGATTGCAATTGCAGCCTTGGCTGTTGCAAAAGCTAGAACAAAAGTTGCGAAGGTACAGAGCAAAGTCCTCTTTGAAAAGCTCTTGGGCCAGGTGCTGCCCGAAATGCAGGTGTCTTCAGAGCACTTGCCGATTCGCTACTGTGCTAACTTGGTTTGGGCTGCAGCCACTTTACGCTATCAGGGAGCAGCTGCCCAAGGTTTATTTCAACGTGTGGCGAAGGCCTGTCACCAGCCTGGCCTACATGGCCTTTGCAATGCCAGAGATGCAGCGCAAATCTTATGGGCTTTTGCAACAGCAGCGGAAACACACGAGGGCTTGGAAGTCTTGGAGAAAGTTGCAATTGAACAACGGCAAGGCCTGGAAAACTTTTCTGACCATGACTTGGCCACCACCATTTGGGCTATAGCAACCTTGAATTGCCCTGGGCCTCAGGGGAGTGCTTTGCTGCACGAGTTGGCAGGGACGGTCTCCGAGAAAGACTTTGCTCCACAAGGGCTGTCCATGGTCTTGTGGGGCTATGCCACGCTAAATCTGATGGAGAAGTCTCTTCCAACGAGAAGGCTTTTGGAAACACTGTCGCCCAAAGTTGTAGCTGAGGCCTCAAACTTCACACCTCAAGGGGCATCCAATATACTGTGGGCGTTCGCCACTATTGATACTTGCTTGACTGGCGGCAAGAAAGACCACCAAGCGACAGATTCAGCGCAGAACTTAGAATAGGGTTATGGGTTGGACCAGCCTTCACCTGTGCTGCATATGTCAATCTTGGGTTTGAATGCAAATAAAGTGGGTTCTCCGTGGTTCTTCCGCAGGCCGAAAAAGCAAATGGTGTTGCCTCAATTCCAGAAGGTGGGCAGATAGATGAAGCTGCGCCTTAAACCCAACAGCGTTAAGGCTTTGAGGAACTATTTTGATTTGTCTAAGTGTTGCAATCATTTTGGAGTGCTATGAATCCTTGGACAGGAGGCTTGGCCATCAACGCTTTGTGCATGTCACTGATGGAGCAGCTGCTGGCATGCAATGGACAGGATAGAAGTGCTGCGTAAGTGCATGCCAAGCCATCACTATTAGGTTGGAGGCCATCGCTACTTGGGTGGAGCCCATCGCTATTAGATTGGAGGCCATCGCTACTAGGGTGGAGGCCATCGCTACTAGGGTGGAGGCCATCGCTATTAGGCTGGAGGCGGTTGGAAGGGCAGAGGCCATCGCTATCAGGTCGGAGGCCATCGCTATTAGGTTGGATGCCATCGCTGCTACATTGGAGGCCATCGCTACTAGGGTGGAGGCCATCGCTATTAGGTTCCTTTTGCTATTTGTTTGCATGCTTTGTACTGTAGCTTTTTGGTTTGCAATGTCAAGTGCTCCTCGAGGCCCCAACCACTGTTGCACTAGCAGACCAGTGTAGATTTGGAGAAACCGACTTAGTGGATATCTACCTTCGTTTTGGTTGTATATAGTTGCAGCCGCTGGTGGAGAGGATCCAAACATTTGACCTGCATTGACAACTTTTGTGGCTCCAAATGATAGGACATTGCAAATGCGCTGTGGGCTCTGGCGAGCATTGGCCACATGGAGCCAGCTCCAGTTGCACTCTTTGAGAAGATTTGCAAGAATTACGTCGACCTTCCAATTCACAGCTTCACAGCAGCTCGGAGGAAATATTTATTACTTGGGATATTGTTAAGTGAGGCAGGTCGCCAACTTGTTGGAAAAAGATATGAAAGCAGGTAACGGCCCTTGAACAAACCCATAGTCTGGCCACTAGCCAATTATAGGCCAGACATTGCACGTGCAAGTGTGTTGCGTGCGATGAATGAGGCTCAGAACTGTGCCAACATTCTTTGGTCCCTTGCTCGGCGAGGGAGGCACACTGATCATGAAGACATTTCACAAGCTATCGCAGAACGTGCATCAATGTTGGACGATTGGGATGAACAAAGCCTATCAACGTGTGTTTGGGCCTTAGCAATCTTGGGTCAAAGGATGTCGTCTTTGCCTTTGCTCAAAGCTGTGAGCTCCGACCTGGATGAACTTCGGCAATTCTCACTTGAAAGTCTGTGTGTTTTTGCGTGGACTTGTGGTTTGCTCGGTCTTTCGGAGCATCCAACACATATATTGGCCATTGCCCTACGGGAAAGGTCAAACGATTTAACTTCGAGTCATTTGGTTTCTGTTCCATTGGCCTTTGCCCGAATTTGGCCAAAATTCCAAAAAAATAAAAACATAATTCAAAATGTCTAAATAGATTTATAACTTATTTACAGCCTTCGGCATGCCGCCGGCCATCAGCTCGAGCCCGCACGGCTGGTCGCCATGGCCCGGGCGTGTGTAGCTGTGTGTAGCTATTGTGAACAGAGTGTACAATATCAAAGTGCGTGAAAACAAGGGGTTTGTGCGCGACATGACTTGGAACATGCACGCTGGCTGGAGATGTTTGTGTCAATGAGGTGCGGCGTCAAAACGACGTAGTGTAAGAGCCATGTAAGTGGAGAGCAACTGGCCAAAAACAAAAGCTGCGCTGGTGTAAAAGCGAGTGGGCAGCGAACAGTACTTGCAGAGAGCGCGTGTGTAACACAGAGCTTCTGCAAAAGCGACATGTAAGCGAAAAAAAGTAGCGAGGAAATGGTTGCAAGGGGCTTGTGCGCGACATGACTTGGAAGGTGCACAGGTTGCGGTGTCAGAACGAAGTCGTGTAAGAGCCATTGCCTAGAATAACGCCGTGACAGTGTAAGCGATATAGAACCCAATTGGCAGCGAGTTCCCGCAAAACGCATGGAAAAACCAAGGTTGTTATACGTTTTTCTACACACGCGCGACTGTGCGCCAATGCATGGCCTGCTTGAAAAAGACGAAGAGGGGGAAGAGAAGAGAAGGAGAACGAGAACGAAAAGAGAAGAGAAGCGAAGACAAGAGACGAGACAAGGCGACAAGACAAGACAAGGCGAGAGGGGGGGTAGGAGCGCCTCAACATTAAAAGACGAAAAATGAGTTGAGAAGATGATTTTCATTACTAAAAGTACGAGCACCTCAACATGAAAAGAAGAAAATGAGTTGGGAAGATGATTTTCTTTACTAAAAGTACGAGCACCTCAACATTAAAAGAAGAAAACTGAGTTGGGAAGATGATTTTCTTTACTAAAAGTACGAGCACCTCAACATTAAAAGAAGAAAAATGAGTTGGGAAGATGATTTTCATTACTACAAGTAGGAGCGCCTCAACATTAAAAGACGAAAAATGAGTTGGGAAAATGATTTTAATTACTAAAAGTACGAGCACCTCAACATGAAAAGAAGAAAATGAGTTGGGAAGATGATTTTCATTACTAAAAGTACGAGCACCTCAACATTAAAAGAAGAAAAATGAGTTGGGAAGATGAT